AGTGTTTTCTCAAGGACTTGAAAAGAGCAAGCCAATTCCACCAAATTTTAATCAGCATCTTTTTTTTAATAGCAGGAAAATGGGAACAGCTCTGCCCTTTTGTCATCCATCTCTCAGGAACAACAAACATTTTAGTCTTTGAAGGTCAAGGTGGAGAACAGTCCTCAAGAATAAAGCAGAAAGACTCAAGGCATAAAACCTTAGATGGGACCAAAAATTTTGGATTCAAGTTCAAGATTTGACAATAGTTTATTTACTTGCAGAACCAGAGGACAAACCAGAGGATGAAAATGGGTTCAAAGATACACCATGACTGATGCAAAGAATCTGGCGCTGCAATGCAATCCAAGTTCCCAACTGAGAAGCATTTAAGTGCCACAGTCCCCAAAGCTTTCGTGAAGCCAAGCGGAAACCTCAGGATTAGAAGCGATTTAGTCTGGTGTTGATAGAGGAGACAATCATCAACCAAATTACAGCCCTAATTGCCTTAAAGCCATTACATTTTCACCAGGGCACAAGCAAAGCAAGTGGCTCATTTTCTATTTGATTCTTGCTGTGCCATCAGACCTTGACACCGGAAGTTTCTAGACATCAATCAAGCCTAGACCAAAGGCAAATGGACCCTGCAGATGACTTGCCTAGAGTAATTCCAGATTTTTATGACTGCAGAAGAATGGTAGAATATTGGAGAAAATCCAAAATGAATTGTGTAAGGTGAATTTTGTTAGAGCTTGTCTCTTATGTCTTGCATGTACTTATGAACTCAGGAACATTTTCATTTACAGTTGTAGCACTGTAGCAATGTCCTCCCATTGTTCATCGATTTGCTCAAGTGGGCCCAGTAACATCTCCATTGTGAGACTGTGTTGTTACTGTGTTTGGCATATCGAATACATCATGGATAGCTTGCCAGGCTTTGCCATGCGGGCAAGATACTCTTGGTAGCTTGCTGGGCTCTCCGAGAGGGGTGGAGGAATCGAACTCAGGTCAGCCGCATGCAATGCCATGTTATAAACAGTTCAAAAACAGAATACTTCCAAATTCCCTTCCTGTGATGTCCAGTTACAATCCAACTTTTCTCCATCCCCTACAAGGTAACTACTATTATGAGTTTTATATTAATCACCATCCTTAATACACACTTCTGTGTATGTCTCTAAACAAGTCACTTATCTTAATCACTTAACTTCCCGTTAGTCGTCGATTTGCTCAAGCGGGCGCCAGTAATGTCTCCATTTGTCCCTGTCGCGTGCTAGTGTAGCCCAATGGCATCTCTTCGCTCCGGGAACATGGAGGGCCTCAAACCGATCGTTCATGATCTTGACAAAGAAGTCTGACCATCTGGTAGGTGGGCGGCCATGCGGTCTCTTGACATCCCGTGGAATCCAATCAGTAACAGCTCTAGTCCAACGGTCGTCTTTAAATCTCATTACGTGACCAGCCCATCTGATTTTCGACACCTTGGCATATGAGACAGCGTCCCTGATCCTTGATGGTCGACGGATGTCAGAACTCCGGATTCGTTCTCTCATTTGAGTGAAACGTGATATTCCAAGCATAGCTCTTTCTATTCTTCTTTGGGAGACCTGAATGGCGTTCTCATCTTGTTTGCGTAGGGCCCAGGTCTCTGAGGCATATGTTAATGCAGGAAGAACAGTGGAATCAAAGAGATGTGCCCGGAGCCGGAGGTTCTTCGTCCTCTTAGCTATTTCTTCGACGTTCTTGAAGGCGTTCCAAGCCGCTCTCTTCCTCCTGCACAGCTCGGGTGCCAGGTCATTTCTCATGTTGACCTCTCGACCTAGGTACACATAGCTGTTGCATTCGGAGATGGTCGTTCCATTGAGAGCGAATGGGGCGTCAGGAACAAGGCTGTTTCTCATAAACATTGTCTTCGTAAGATTCAGCTGTAGTCCTACCTTTCCACACTCACGGTCAAAGTCGGCCAGCATTTGTGCCACTTGCTGATGTTTGGTGTTATTAAAACAATGTCATCAGCAAAGCGGAGGTGGTGTAGTTGCCGACCATCTATCTTCACTCCCATTCCTTCCCATTCCAGTCGTCGCATGATGTTCTCGAGGGTGGCACTGAAGAGTTTCGGTGAAATGGTATCACCCTGCCGCACCCCTCTCTTGACATCAACGATCACTTCTTTGTAGAATGGTGAGATCCTGGTAGTGAATCCGCAATACAGCTCACGGAGGATCCTGATGTATTGGGCTTGAATGCTCTGATTGGCTAGGGCTTCAATGACCACTTCCGTCTCAACAGAATCAAAGGCCTTCTTTAAATCAATGAACGTTAAGCAGAGCGGCATCTTGAACTCCCGAGAAACCTCAATGAGCTTGGTTACTGTGTGGATATGGTCGATGGTGCTGAATCCTTTGCGGAACCCGGCTTGCTCGCATGGTTGTCCTTCATCTAGTGTTCTGCCAATCCTATTCAGGATGACTCGAGTGAACAGCTTGTAGATGACAGACAATAGGCAGATTGGCGATAGTTGCCAATGTCAAGGATGTCTCCCTTCTTGAACAGTAGTACGGTCCTGCTGGTTTTCCATTGGGACGGAACCTTGCATTCAGACAGGTAGCGAGTGAAGAGCCGAGCCAGTGTATTGATGAGTACTGACGGCAGGTTCTTCAGGTGTTCAGGTCTGACCTTGTCTGGGCCGGGTGCTGTTTGCTTCTTTACCAACGAAATGGCGTGTCGGATTTCGGAAGGGAGAACGTTAGGAATGACATACCCATCCTGTGGAATTTGGTATGTCGGCAAGTAGTTCAGTCTTAATGTGTCTTTAGTTCCCTGCTACCTTATATTTGTGAGAATTATACATCTGATATACTCAGCAGTAGTTTTGATCATCCCATTTTCCATTTAGTTGTAACAGGCAATATAAAATAAATTATTTTGTGCCTTCTATGGGGGCAGGCTTGCAGGGGTGGGGGGGATGGGAAATTGGGGACAAAGGTGGGGGAAGTTCACACTGGTGATGGGATGGGTGTTGGGATATTGGATACCTGGGACAACTATATTGGAAACAACTTTGTAAAAAAATTGGTGTTTAAATAAAGTGAAAAAGAAAAATAATCCAACACAATGTAATGTTATAGGACCCATTTCTTCTGGTTGTATAAATTGGAATTTTATGTATTCTACACATAAATTAAATCCTGAAATAATTTTTTTTAGTTTTTCCAAAAAATTGTCATTGGTATACAAAATATGCGTATAAATATAAATAGTTAAAATTTCATATTATTTCTATATACTGATTTTGTATCCACTTATCCTGCTAAACTCTTACTTGCTTAAATAGCTTGTTTTTATGATTTCTTTGTTTATAATTATATACAAATGACAGCAGGCTGGCATCCATGTACTAGTAAAAAAATTTTTTTCTGCCCACTGAGCACCTTCAGCCAAAACTTGGGAAAGGAGAATCCTAATGATCATTCTTGTCATACTCTTTCCCGGGTTTACTTTTACCCTTTTCCCTGGGATATTTTTTTTCTGAGTTTATTTCATTGTGTATCTATTGGTGACAAATTCTTTTTGTTCAACTAAAAAGGACCTATTTTAACATTTTGAGAGAACTTGTTGAACTGTTAGCTTGCTCTTAATCAATGTTGTTGCTGTTGTTATTTTGGGACCATCCCCGGCTGTGCTCAGAGCTTACTCCTGCCTTTGTGCTCAGTGACCTGGAGGTGCATTCAGGGACCACTCCCGTCAGTGCTCAGGGGACAATGGGGGATGCTGATGATCAAACACAGGTCAGCCATGTGCAAGGCAAAGGCTCTCTCTGCTGTGCTATAGCTTGCCCTGCCTGTAGTCAATTTTAAATTCATTGAAGATAGTTATTATTGTCTTCTGACTTTCACTCTTGCTTTAGAGGGGTCATATAACATTTCAATATAATGTAGCAGGTTACATTAAAAAGATGTGGGAAGTCCATTCTTAATGCTAGCTTCCCCAGGTGCTTTGTCTCATTCTTTACCAGTCTGAATTAGATACTATGGAGAAATTTAGTATGATAAAGAATCCAAGTTAGCTGACCATTTCACAATAGTGGGCTTAGAAACAACCAGAGAAACTCTGAATTAATGAGTTAGGACTTGTCCGTGCCCAAAGACAAAAAAAGTAAGCACTAGTCTTAAGGCAAGGCATCGTTGTTTAATGTTTGCCTAATGAGAAATATAGAGATTAAGAATTCAATCACGTAAATATATTTTCAGGACTATATGTCTTACACACAAGGATACTTGTCTGCTCTTGAAACAGGATATGTTGTAATTCTAATAATATTTTGGAAATTCACATTACTAACCCTTCCCCAAAGTTGTTGGCTAATAGGAAATGTGTAATAAAAAGGATATTTAAGGTCTTATATTCTCTATTCTGTTTTGTATTATATTTTGTCAAAGGGTCAACACTCAGATTAGTAGGAAAAACTTATTGCCCATTTCATCTTTTGCATAATGTACATTTTAACTTGTGAGAAGCAGAGAAGTACCAGGCATTCTTTTTTTCTTGTTCCCATTTATCTAAAAGATTAGGATATACTTATTACATGGCCTAAAGCAGCATATAGTGAAGAAGCTAATGAGATTTGCCTAGCATAATCCTTGAAAGATAGTCAAGAACTATTGACTTCCTCTTTTCATATCTTTACTCTATCTTAAGTAACTTAAAAGTCTTTCTTTCTTGTTTATTTTAGTATTATCACTCATTTTAGTAGCAGAGCAGTTATTACTTGCCATTCACCTAAATTTATCATGATCCAATAATCTCAATACTGTTTAATTTTTGGACAGTTTTGACATTAGTCATCACCATAATCCTTCTATTTGCTTAAGCACAGAACTCTGCAATATTCATGATTAAGGAGTGGCCTTGTGGGTTTTTAAAAAGCAAAAACCAAATTCCTAACCTGTGAGAAATCAAGTTTCAGTTACTTCTTTAAAAGTTTAGTGAAATAAGAAGGGCAAGGGTTCACATCTGTTCAGAATCCTGGAGACATTCTAGCAATTTAGATAATCTCTGCACATTGTTTTTTTGATGACAGCCAATGTTTTATTTTTCCCAAATAACATAAATCGTGTACTTTGTGGTTGAATTTGGACAGTTTCCCAGAAAATAGATGACTATTGTTTTCCATAATCCAGATTGAATAAATAAAAAGTAATTAATTTAACATAAATCTAGCATTTCCTAATTTCTAATCCCAAAGTGAGTACAAACGCCTTTGGAGCAGCATCGAAGATACCAGGACTTTCGGAATGGACAGAAAACAACAACGACAAACTATGGATATTGAACAAAACGCAACTGAGATGGTGAGTGTTGAGAATGCCTGAGAATATTCTTTATGGCCAATATTCTTACTCACAACATTTAGCTTTTAACCCTTCAAGAAAAATTAAGTTCCTTTCCTCTCCTATGTTTGCTTGTATAGGATGAATGGCTTCACTGAATTTTGATTTTTAGAGTAGCAAACAATGATAGACAATAATAGACAATGTTTTAGTAGAGGACTTTAAGTATTATGTTTATAGCAAAAATTAACAAGGCTATTTAGATTTCTATATATGTTGCTCCAATTCAATGAAAACATTTGTTTTCATGGACCTATTGGTATTTAAAGTTAGTAGTTGATGGGAAATGTCTCATATCTGAGGGAATAGCACTTAAAATGTTTACTCTAGTAAAAAAATAAATCAAATTTACTAGTTTATATAAAGGATATTTTTCCTTTGGCCATTTAAATAAATCTGGATCTTTATTTTAACAAGTCCTTACTTGTTGCTGGTGTCAGAATTAGAGACTGAATTCACATTTCTCACAGTTTTTTCATTGTAAAAAATTACATTTCCAAAAGTTAGAGTTGTAAATTAAAAAAAAATGCAAATTGATGAAAATTCACACAAGTTGGTATGTTAGTTTGTACAAGTTCTAATTGTCATAATATGAGTGTCCATATTTGAAATGCTGTTATTTATCAGTAAATGTAAACTAATTGAGAGTATTTATATGTATGCTCTATAATTTCTTTAAAGTTGTCTTTATTCTATAGTCCATCTATTAAACTGATGACTAAGTATCTTCATCTATTAATTCTTATTGCATCGTCAGTGAACTAAATCTGAGTGTTTATATTTTGCATTTTTGTACCTAAGTTGGAAACATGAAAGAAATTTTTAATATGAAATGAAAAGTGAAACAATTATATATTAAATTATGCATTTAAAATGTTCCTAGAAAAGAAAAATGAATCTTATAGTTTATTTAAGCTTGTATATATGAAACAAATGAGGAGGAAAAAAAGAAAGGATTGGGTATAATAATATAATAACTGCTTTACAACTTGAAGGTTCATTTGTGATCATTTTGGGGATTAAATAACCAGACTATCATAAACTTAATTTGTAGGATGCATCTTATTTTAAGGAAGTTGTAAAATGTTTCTATGTTAATATTGTAATATTTTCTTAATAAATGAGTTATTGTGTTTATCTAGAATGCCAAGAATAGTTATGCAATTCAGTCTACTGAATCAGTTGATTAATTATGCTAGAATACTGAGATTTTGAGACAAAAAGAAATGATTAGAAATTCTCACTTATTACTAATATGGCAATATATAACTTTTTAAATCCCCAAATCAAGGAGTAGTAGCCACATTTTAAAAGCCACTATTATAGGAATATATCTGCATATTTTAAAAATTTTGGGAAAAATATAAATTTCTTGTAAAATATGATCAATCATCTTTGATTCATTACTTTCAGAAAAATCAGTTAAAATTATGCTTCCTTTACCGTTCTCTTCTGCCATTTAACTTTATTTTTTAGGTTAAATTAATTTTGCCACATAATTTTTGGGGGGTGAATTTTACTCAAGCCTTTTCTCTACAAATTCTATAAAGACCTTCATGAAAATTCAGAAGACTGAGAGCTTATACAACTAAATTTTTAAATAAATCAACTTTTTGATCATCAGTAAAGTTTTATAATTTTTTTTTTTTTTTTTGCTTTTTGGGGGCTGGAGTGATAGCACAACAGTAGGGCGTTTGCCTTGTGCCCAGCCAGCCCGGCCAAGCCGGGTTCAATTCCTCCACCCCTCTCGGAGAGCCTGGCAAGCCACCGAGAGTATTCAATATGCCAAACACAGTAACAAAAAGTCTCACAATGGAGATGTTACTGGGCCCGCTTGAGCAAATCGATGAACAACGGGAGGAAAGTGTTTGTTTTGTGTTTGTGTTTGTTTTTGGGTCATACCCGGCAATGCACAGGGATTACTCCTGGCTCATGCACTCAGGAATTACTACTGGTGGTGCTTGGGGGACCATATGGGATTCTGGGAATCGAACCCGAGTCGGCCGCATCCAAGGCAAACAAATGTCCTACCCACTGTGCTATTGCTCCAGCCTCAAGTTTTATAATTTTTATGTAATTTATATTACTGTTAAAATATCAGTTTCTCCTATACATACATGCACATAAAACAATATCATTATATAGACATTTTATATTTTAATTATCAGTTAAGTAGTTGTTACTTTTGATATATGTTTGATTCTATGGGATTTTATTTATACAATCACATCATCTGCAAATAACATAAATTTTATTTTCTATTTTTATTATTCCCATATACTCATTACAGCTTCTAGAAAAATTACCTAATATTTCTGGTAGAAGATATTTTTCACTTTTCTGAATTTAAAGGAATCTGAGTATCTATTTTTGATGCTTCACTGTTGATGGTGGTTATTGTTCTGAGATAAACTTTATGTCACATTCTCTTACTTTTAGTTCTTAGATATTTGTAGTATTTGTTTTTGTCAGAGCTGATTGCTAAAGCTTTGTTAAATGTTCCACGGCCATCTGTGGAGACAATCATTTAATTTTCCTTCTTTGTTCATTTTGGTGAAAAAGAATGTCTTTGTATCATTCATACCATCGAACCATTACTGAAGATTCAGATTCTTTGAGCATTTGGTTATGTCTTCATTTGATGTATGCTGGATTCATTCCATTTTCAAATATATTTTAGATACTTTTGTTCCTGGATAAAATGAACTTTTTTCATCCTTAGTGTTCAAGGTTATCTATTTATATTTACTGAAAAATTCTTTCTCTGCAGTTACCCAGAAATCCATACTGCTCAAATGAAGGCCCCCCACACTGTGGCTGTAAATTTCCCAATGTGACCCTCCAGCCGCAGTGGGTAAGACTAGGGGCCTGGGGTAGGTGGGGCATCGGGTGAGAGAGAGCAGGCAGGCCCTGCGCTCTTGGTCCTCTGAGGATGGATACTCTCTTTTCACCCTTCTTTGGTTACCTGCCCTATACTTCTGCATTGTCATTGTGTTGCTTCTGACTATCCTGTGGCCCCAATCCTGACTATTCTGACTATTCTATGGCCCCAATTTATATTTGCTGAAAAATTCTTTCTCTGCAGTTACCCAGAAATCCATACTGTGGATTCATTCCATTTTCAAATATATTTTAGATACTTTTGTGGCCCCAGTTTCTTCTTGCTGTTTCCTATTTGTTTAGGACCGTGTTCCAGTCAGTGACAATTATTTTTCTATTTAGTCTTTCCAAATATCATGAACTTCCGTTTATTATTGTTCACGAAATAAAAATGTATTTAACAAGTAATTTGCTAATTATCAAGTCTCAACACCTGAGGTGAAAATGGGAAACAATCAGTGAGACAAGAATATCTGCAATTTTCCATCACCCAGAGATAATCAGCCTAAATTTTTGACATGCCTTTTCATTATTTTCTACCATGGGAAGTAACTTAATAATGTATTAATTTAATGTGATATATTTCTGAGGTTAAAACAGTTGCATAGGAAGGAAACTTTATTGCTTTATTTATTGTTTAATTTAAAAGGGGTAATTAATGGGATATTTTGTCCTTATGAATAAAATACACATAAAATACATATGGATAAAATACACACACATACACACACTTGTGGGCAAAGTGTGTGTATGTGTGTGTGTGAATTTGTGTATATGAGAGAGGGAAAGAGAGAGTCAATAACTGTACGTGTAAATGACAACATTTGTTATAATAAAAAAATTGGTTTTATTGTAGTTGAAATCACCATTATGTAACTTTCTAAAATCCCATTTTATAATCCCTTACAGGTTGCATCAAAGCCATGGTCTCTCTGGAAAACATTTCTTGTGTGTCTCTTGGCCTGTCTAATTGCAACAACCCTAGTTGTTTTGGTCTTATATTTTGTCCACTTCGGCAAAGCCCCCAACAGTAGTAGTAGTATCATCATTCACACAGATGGAAAGTCCACCCATGTCACCTGCATCTTTGATTCGGCCTCCAACCAACCCACTGCCTCACCGACCCAGTCAGAACCTCAGAGCACCTTACCTGTTACACCTGAGGCAAATCAAAGCTCTACCACCCTGATGACCACTATCTATTATTCACCACCTACTAGACCACCACCGACTGCGGAGACTGTCAAAACCACGGTGGATCATGAAGTGGAAATTGAAGACTGATGTTTTGAGTCCTCAGCCTACTCCAAAGCAAATCAACATCCGTCCTCTGAAAAAGCCTTGTCCGCAGTGTTCTCTTCTCCCTGCCAAGAAGTTCCAAAGTATTTGGCTTTATGAGATCTCGTGTCTCTTGCTCAATTATTTGCTAAATTCCCATATGGTAGTGACTCAGTGTTGGACCTTCCAATGTCCAAATAACTGGAAAAGAAAAATTTCAATGAAGCCTAACTTACCCAGCCTGGGACCTAGAGTTTTCTTTGTATCCCTCCCAAAACAACAGCTTCATTTATCACTAATAAGAATTTCAACTGCTGAAAAAAGGTTTCCAGCTGGATCCTGTCGTTAACTCTCTGTATGTTGCTTCTTTTCATTGTTTATAGGGGGCATCCCTAAGTCATGCTCAGGATATTAAAGTGTCTGTCCTTCATTGAAATTCTGATACACTGCCAATTAGGCCTGCAGTTCAATTCTAGGGCTTGAGGATGTGTCTCTGTTCAGGCCCTGTGGTTCTGGAGATTATGTAGGTTACCCCCTGGTGCTCAGGGAGGCCTCCAAAGACAAGTTCAGAAGTTTGGGATCCTCCAGGGCTATAGCCCGCAGTGCTTGGGGGACCATGTGAGAGCCTATGGTGCTGGGTTGGCTGCATGTAAGGCCTGCTCTTTAACCCTAAGCTTTCTCTCAGAGTCCTCCATGTTAATTCTTGAGTCAGTATTGAATACCTTGTTGATTGTTCCCAAATCTCATATACTTGATGATTTTCAGCGATTGGAAAATGTGCAATTAATGTGACTAATAAGTACAAAATATTGAGTCTGGAAATAAAACTGTCAAATACTTGCTTTCCATGTATGGGCTCAATCCCTGACAACACAAAAAACATAAATTATAACTAATATAGTTCCTCATACTAGGGAATTCAGAAATGAGGTAAAGGTAAAGGTAAAGGCCCTCCCGTTGATCATCGATTTGCTCGAGCGGGCCCAGTAACGTCTCTGAGATCAAGGTTAAAATAATTAAGGAAGATTTCAGAGAAGGATTGGAAGTTGTTAAAGGGGGAAGGTTGGATTTAAGTAGCACTATAGCACTGTCCTCCCATTTTTCATTGATTTGCTTGAGTGGGCACCAGTAACGTCTCCATTGTAAGACTTGTTGTTACTGTTTTTGGCGTATTGAATATGCCACGAGGAGCTTGCCAGACTCTGCCATGTGGGTAGGATACTCTCGGTAGCTTGCTGGGGTCTTCGAGAGGGGTGGAGGAATCGAACCCTGGTCAGTCATGTGCAAGGCAAATGCCCTACCTGCTGTGCTATCTCTCTAGCCCGGATTTAGGTAGAGATATTAAAATAGAAAATGAGAGGGTCAAAAAATTTTAATTTGAAGCTACACTCAGAAACACGTCACATGTAGCAAGAGATCATTTCATTTATCTGTACTTTTCATAGGTTAATGTTTTTTCTCAGCCTCTAAGCTCCTGATTTAAAAAAAACCTGTTATTATTTGGTGGGTATATGACAGTTTGGGTCAGATCTGGAAGTACTGAAGGGGTGTTCTTTGCTCTGTGGTCAGGAGTGATTCCTGGAGTGTTCTGGAAACCATGTGTGATGCTGGGGATGTGAATTGGGGTCAGTTATCTTCAAAACAAATGACTTGCCTCCTATATTATCTCTCCAGCTCCCAAGCTGGACTTTTAAGTTGTTTTATGCTTCATAGGACAACTTTTAGTGCACTATGATTTTTATTCAAGATCACTTACATTCTGAGTGTTTAATGTTCACAAGAAAGATGTGTACTTTCAATCTAGAAGACTACAGAGTTTAATCAACCTGATGATTCCAACTAGACCTCCAAATACTGTGAAAGGGAAGATAGCCAGAGAGATAGGAAAGTTTTAGTGAAACACAGACCCAATGAGTTGACAACAGAGCCTGGACATCAACTTAAAACTTCTAATTTTTCTTGTACACAATTAGAGGTTCTAAAAGTAGGGGGTTTTTTTTTGTTCTGTTTTCTTAAAGAGATTTCCTAAAGCAAAATATTTTTATTTTATAAAACTCAAGATTGATTTTCTATGGTAAGAATAGAACATTTAAGAGTTGTGGAGATTACTAAACATGTTGGAGCACACACTTTGCATGTGTGATTTGATCCCTAGCACTACATGGTATACTACACTCCCATGTAAGTACTGTTGGGAGTACTGAGTTGGAGGTGGTGTGCCCCTTTGGTTGCAGTGGTAAACATAAGACATACGGAGGTAGCAGGAAGCAAGGAGGAAATGCAGGACCTACCACTAGCAAGAAGTTTGCAAGAGTAACCATGGTTCAGTTAACTGCTCTACAATAAGGTCAATAGTCTTCTCCATTGAAGAAAGAACTGAAGGCCAGTTATACAGCTATACAGAACCCCATAGAGATTTATCTAGTTTTTACTACATAGGTATTCATATATTTTTGAGGCTAGTCAACTATGCTTAAAATTCTTGTCCTCATTAGAGCCTGGGAACTGCACCAGTAAATATTCCAAGCTTTTAAGCTACTTGGAGTGGAAGGTACCAGTCTGAAAAAATGAAAAGATAAGGAACTAATAAACATACAGAAAAACACCAGTTTACAAAAAAAAAATTGCAGCAAGGGAGAAAAAAGAACTGAAAAAACAGAACCACAAGAAAAACAATAAGGTAGAATGAGTAAGTCCTTATCTGTCAATAATTACGACAAATTATTAAAAGTTTAAAAAAATGTATAATGCATAGATGGTCAAAAATAATTAAAAAACTAACACACAATTACTGACCATAAAGAAGATCTTATAAGAATTAAAGAGACATTTCAGCATTAAGATACAGATAGGCCTAAGGTGAAGACATGGGCAAATGCATCCATTTATACAGGAAACAAAACAAAGCAGCAACACTTATTTGAAACGTAACAGACTGTAAGTCAAAAATAATAGCAAGAAACAAAACAAAATTATCTTGTGTTAAAAGAAGCAACTCATCAAGAAATGATAATAATCACAAACCTAAATGCAACTCAACATCAGAGTGCCTGAATAGTAAATTCTAACAGTTTAGTAAATTCTGAATAGAGTAAAAGGTAACACATAGTAGGAACCTCAAACATTCCCCTTTAAGCAACTAATACATGAATACTGTACTTGAATCATTCCTTGGTATTTCTTTCCCTTCCCTTTTGCTGCTGTTGTTGTCATTGTGGCCGTATGACTGGGGCTTAGGTTCTTAGTTTCTGTGTTCTAAGGGTCACTCTAGTGGCTCTAGTGGCTCTAGTGGTTTGAACAATACATTTGACCAAGAAGACCACGTAGAAATGTACAAAGCATTTCACTCAGCAGTAGCAGAGCACACATTCTTTTGATCTCACATTATCTAATTTTTGTATAAATTATGTGACAGGTCACATATACAAGTCTTAGTTAATTGAAGAAGACTGAAATGAGACCAAATCTCTTTTTGACTAGAATGATATAAACCTAAGAATCAATGACCAGTGGCAAGCTGGAAAAGTTACTGATCTGGGGAAATTAACACACTGATGAATAAGCAAGAGACTACTATGAGCAATTGCAAGCCCACACATAGGATAATTTAGATGAATTAATAACTCCTTAGAAAATAATCTATCAGAATAAATTATGAAGAGTCAGAAATCTGAAAGTATCAATGGCAGGCATTTATTATTAATAAATAATAAGAAAAAATTATTTATCAAAAGCTACTCAACACAGAAAATCCCATGGCTGTATAGTTCCACTGGTCAAGTCTGTCAAGTATTTAAATGTGAACTCATGCCAGTAGTTCTTAGAATTTTCCAGTTGCTTTCAGGATATACTCCCAATTTACAAGCCCCACTCCTTTATACTAACACCCAAATAGAGTAGAAGGAAAAAGTTAGAAACCAATGTGCCTATAATATAAAAAAATAAAATATGTAAAAAAAAGAAAACCAAATTAAGCAGTACAATAACAGGATCATGGTATAACACAATAAATGATCATATTACCATGAACAAACAAAATATTTTCCTTAATAGGAAAGGAGTCTATCAACAAAATGAAAAGGCACTGTTCAGAATGGAAGAAAAACAGGACTAGAGCTATAGTACTGTGGGAGGGTGCTTATCTCGAATGCAGACAACCTGAGTTCAATCCTGTGCATCTCATATGGTCTGATCCTGCCAAAAGTGACCCCTGAGCCAGAAGTAAGCACTAAGCACTACTGGGTGTAGCCAGTAGTGCTGAAAAGGGAGAAAAATATCAGAAAAATTACAAATCATACATACGATAAGGGATTAATATACAAAATATATAAAGAACTAAAACAAACCACTCTAAGTGAACAAATTGATTTAAAATAAGACAGAAAAACTCGACAGACCGCTTCCTAAAGAAGACAGTGGAGATTAACAGGTATAAGAAAGGTGACCTGTTACTAACAATTATTGACTCACATCACTAGGCATTGGTGGTGTCTTCCACATCACTAATCATAAAGAATGTGAAACACACCACAGGAAGATGTCATCTCATGACAATGAGAACAGCTATTAGCAAAGAGGTAAGATAAAGCATGCGCTGAAGAAGAGGGAACCCCGTGCACTGTTAGTGGAAATGCAGTTTGGTACAGATTCAAAGGAAAACAGGACAGTGATTCCTGCAAAAATTAAAAGTGGAACTCTCCTATGATCCACCAATCCCATTTCTGGATATTTATCCTGAGAAAATGGAAACCAGCAATTTGAAAACCTCTGTAACTTCATGCTCATTGCAGCACTCATCACAGTCTAGTCGATATGTGGAAACAAGGGGTCCACTGATGGATAAATGCATGAATAAAATGTGGAACATAAACCAACTGGAATTTTTCAACCACAAAAAGGAGTAAATATTGCCATCAGTGACACTACAAATGGACCTTGAGATGTTATGCTAAGTGAAACAAATCAAAGACAAATGATCTCACTTATATGTGGAAATCTAAAATCTAAAACAAAAAATGGGAAAGAAAACCAAGATTATAGCTAGAGAAAGGATTGAAAGTTGCTAGAGGCAAGGGGTTGTGTGGAATAGATGATGGGGATCAATAGCACAAGCTTCCAGTCTTAAAGGCCACGGGAATGTAGGATTCTGCGTACACACTATTATTAACAGTACTGCATTACATGTTTGAAAGTTCTTAAGACAGTAAATTTTTAAAGTTATTACCATAAGCTAAAAACTGAAATTATGGATGATGATGGATATGAACAGACCTAATGTGACTATTTTAAGATATAAAAATTTCAAATCATTAAGATAATCATTTTGATGAGAATTTATGCCATCCTTTTCAGCAGCAGAATAAATATGTTTGAGATAAAGTTTTATTTTTTAAAAATAACATTAATACAGATGCTTCTTTTTTTTATTAGTGAAACACTGTGAGGTATAGTTGTAGACTTACAGATTTTTGTGCTTGGGTTTCAGTTATACAATGATCAAGTACCCATCCCTCCACCAGTGCCCATTCTCCACCCCCACCAATCCCAGTATCCCTCCCATCCCCCATC